GATACTCACTGACGATGCCGGCGAAACGTCTGGGAATGTACCACGTTCACGGTTCAACTTTGGAAATGATGACGCATACAATGGACCCCAGACTAGGTACATTCCTCTAAGTCTTCCTACCAATATGACCATGTAGCGAAAACAAGGTCAAACAACCTTTATACAACGAAAGGAGACTGCGAACACACAAAAGGCCACACCATCTTGGTCTTCATACCTTCGATCGGAAGTTCAAACTACTTTTATCTCACAAGATTGATGGAAACACAGTTACTCTTTGCACAACTATTACAATTATTATCAGCATTATTGTAATTTTTACAATTCTCAATAATAATAATATCTTCGAAATCGTCATTATTACTATTATTGCAATCATTCCCACCGCCACCAACCTCATTCTCATTCTTATTATCAACATCATCATACACATTGTCGTCACCATCATCATCATCTTAGCGTCAGTATCGTCATTACTGCTGCTGTTGCTATGCCACTGATGCCCCAAAAGAGAGATGGTATGCAAGGAGAGAATAGATGAACAGACCCATCTTATTCTGTGCACTCGAACGGCGCCCGCGGCTAAACCGCTCGTCCGCCTTTTGCAGTCCTCGTGGTTCGCAGCCACTGGCAACGACGTCTGCAGGGCCATCACCGGCGGCAACAACGGCAACGGCGGCGTCGCGAGAGGTGCGAGGCTGGGCGACGATGTGGCCAGGCCGGCGAGCTCGGCGTCGGCGGCAGTCTGCGCGGTGGCACGACGGCGTCGCCCGGCAACAGGACCTGGTTGCCTGGGGCTGTCGTGGGGGAGGCTGAGCGACGGAGGATGGCGACAGTCGTCGTCGGGAGGGCTGCAACGGAGGCGTGGCGAGCCGGCGGGACGCGCAAAGTGGCTGGGCGGAGAAGTCGTCCGTCCGGAGTAGAGCGGAGTGGAGAGCCAATTGTCGACTCGCTGTCGAGGCACATGCTCGTCAGGGCCGGGCTGGCAGAGGCCCGGCGTCCAAATGGAATAGGGCGTCGTGGGGGGGGGCAGACTCTGCCGCAACAGCGCATGCCTAGGCCGCTTGGAGGGTTCTGTGCAAAGAAAAGGGTCAACACCAACCGATAGCAGGAGGGTGGCATTTTATTAGGGCGGGTCTCGTTGGCCCAACAAGGTTGCGCAGTGGCAAAATGTCGTGGCATGAGTTTACATTTCGAAAAAAAAGTTGCTTGTTACGAAGGCCTGGTGTGCTCGCACCGGAAACCGAAGGATGATTATTCCAACCAGTCACCCGGCGACTCCGACCAACCTGTCCTAAGCGCTCGTCTGTACCGCACTGACAGACATAATCAGAGCAACAATTCATACTTTACGAAATAGAACAAAACTATCCTGTGGAATATGAGATGTATTCACCCTATTTCGCATTCAATTTCACATATTTTTCCAATTAAGTATTGTTTTCGTGACTACCAGTAAATCAGTAGTATGAGATGTATTCACCCAAATTCGTTTAAGGTGATTCAGGACTGGTA